TCACGGAAATTACAGTGTCGTAGCAATGACAGATACACAGCCAAGAACTCACAGTAATGGTGAAATACAATTAGCGCAACGAAAGCAAAGCACATTGTGAGAACGTTCATAAGGAGATGAAATTTAGGTTAAGAGTTGAAGACATTGCCCAATGACGGGTGGGCGTTGTTTTTAAAAAATCCTGTGGGAAATGTGTGTGTGTGTGTGTGTGTGTGTGTGTGTGTGTGTGTGAGTGTCAGTGTGTGTGGGTGCATGAGAGTGTGTGTGTGTGCATGTGTGAGTTTGAGAGTGTGCGAGTGTGTGTTTGCGTTTGTGAGTATGAGAGTGTGTGAGTGTGTGTATGTGTGTGTGTTGGGGGTGGTGGGAGGATAAATCAGAGCATTTCAGCCAGAGAAAACCGTATTGTCAGAAAACCCTGATGTGACAGTTTGACCACTTGGAGGTTCCCAACGCAGACACAATAAACAGAACAACAAAGTTGTAGCATAGTCAGCAAGGGATCAGAAAAAAAAGAATGACAATATAGGCAGTTGGTATATTCTGTACAATTTTACCGGTTATTAAATATGCTATTCTGAATGTGATAAGAAGTCACTGATAGTTTTTATACACGGATAATTTAATTTATATTTTAGTCGCTTAAACTAGCACATAGACAGAACTCATTAAGTAAGAAAGTATTTAATGACTCATGCAGACCAATGAAAATTTAATAAACTGTACAACTACCTGGGAAACACCACTCTTCCCAGTGAGAGCACTGACCGTAATCCGGGGAGCGAAGTTTCAGCAATAGTTATGGTCGTTGGTCCCATCTCGGTCTGGAAGGCTTCCTGGCTTTGACTTAACCAACCACGTCTGTAAATTGCATTCTTGTTGTGCTCTCTATCACTGACCGCTTGCCCTGGGAGGTTTCTGCAGAAACACATGCTGTTAGTAGACATTCTACCAATCCAGCCTTTTCGTAAAGCCTTTTTATAATAACTATTCATCAGGAAGGCCGGCTGGGTTATCGTTTCCTCCAACCGCCACCCCACCCATGGAGGGGGACCGTGACGTCATGTCTCTCAGAAAGTCCTGGGAAGACTCCTGACCACGTCAGGAACACGCTGAAGAGCTCTGCAGAGAGCAAGGTAGATGACTGTCCCAGCCACTGGTTCTTCAGCGACTTTTCTCAGTGGAAAAAAACATATTCCACATTTTTTAAGCCTTTGCAAAATAAGAGTTCTGAATAGCTGTCCCCCGGGTCACCCAAGGAGCACAGGGAGAACAGTTGTAAAACACGGTTTGTACCCGTTTGTGGCTGAATACCTGCTTTGCTCCAATGGCAGCTTGAGGGTCGAACAGGTCCCGCCATTTTGTGCTCTGTCATTTATTTTCAGGTTAATGCGGCGGTTGCTCTGCTAAAACAGTTCTCTCAAGAACTTTGGGGGTCTGCACTGGATTTCAGCTTTCCCTCTCTTGTACAAAGGCCACAACCACACTTTTTGTGTCTTCATGATAATCCTTTCTCCATCCTTGGGTCCTCTCGAGATGACCCAGGGGCAACACCCTCAAGATCCCCAGACACCATGCAGCTTGAGGGAGAGGCCTTGAAAGGGCCTCAGAATGACCCTTCACCCTTCCCGAGGTTTTGTTAAGGGGTCTCACTGGCACATCCCTTTTCTCAATGTCACATTTTCAGAAGCCATTTCTTGATTTTTAACAGTTTTTTTTTCCATATGAAGAAACAGAATTTTCTAAACCATCAAGCCCTGTTTTTGTTTGTTTGTCTAATGGGTTTTCCCTCAATTAATCTCTCTCCTTTCGTGTTTTGTTACAAACAGCAGAAAATCAGGGTGGAACTCTCCCACTTTGCTTCCACATCTCCTACGCCTGGAAGAGACCGTTTTACAGGCTTAGCTGTCGCTGTACAAGAAGGGCCTCCCTTCCTCCGGTTTCCAACACGGTGTTCCCTCCTCCTGAGCCCTCGTGGGCAGCGACTTCCAAGTCCGTATTTGCACTGACAGTTGTTCAAGGTAATTTGGGCTTCGTCCATCACATGCCTCAGAACTATTTCAGCCTCTTCCTACTTCCAGATTCCAAAGCTGCACTCATACTTTTCAGTATTTGCAGGCATCAGACTCTGTATTAGTTTTGTATTTTTGCAGAAAAATGACCACAAACTTAACAGCTTAAAACAGAAATACGTGTATTGCAGTGTCTGTGGGTTTGGAGTCTGAGAACAGCCCGACGGCTCTCCTGCTTCATGCCCTCACCAGGCGGCCATCGAGGTGTCAGAAGACAAGGTTTCATTCAAGGCTGCACGCACATTCTTGTCCCGGCTTATGTGGCTGTTGGCTGAACTATGGTCCTTGTAGTTGTAAGACCGAGGGTCTCGGCTTCCAGGGCCGGCCCCCAGTTCTTTGTCAGGCGGCCCTCCCCTAATGTGGCTGCCTCCTGCATCAGGCCAGCCAGGAAGAGCAGGCTCTGAGGCGACTGAGGCCCTGAGGTCTGTCCACACCGATGGGTGACGGCTCCAGGCAGGTGCAGCCTTGGACAACATCTTTTATTTTTTAATTTTTTTAACGTTTATTTAGTTTTGAAAGACAGAGAGAGAATGAGTAGAGGAGGGCCAGAGAGAGAGGGAGACACAGAATCTGAAGCAGGCTCCAGGCTCTGAGCTGTCAGCACAGAGGGGCTCCAACGTGGAGCTCCAGCCCACAGACTGTGAGATCATGACCTGAGCCCAAGTTGGACATTTAACCGACTGAGCCACCCAGTCGCCCCTCAGACGACATCTTGCTTTCAACTTTGTGAGAGGCCGGGCACCAGGGAAACAGCTGAGCCGGGATTCCTGGTCCAATGGTGCTAAAATACACGCTCTTGGTTTTAATCCACTAAGTTTTTGTTTTGGTTATGGTTTTTAATCCACTAAGTTTTGAGGTGATTTTTTTTCCACATCACAATGGAAGACTCCCGCAGATATCACGATGTGGACTGTTTGGGCAGATTGACTTGAGACTGGCTCTCACCTGATACAGATATGGTGGAGTGATGTCTCCTTCACCTGTGGGTGTAGACCTCAATGGAAAATTCAAGAGGATTCTAAATAAAGGAGGCAACAAACGTCGGCAGTGAGGTTACATGTCCAAACTGGAATTTGTTAGTTGAGAGCCAAACCACAGTGTAAAAGAAGGCTTTTCCTCCCATAATTTGTAAATAGAATAAACTATATTGATAGTTCAATGATGAATTAGCTTTCATTTTTAAAATTTATTTATTTATTTATTTATTTATTTATTTATTTTGACAGAGAGAGAGAGAGAGAGAGAGAGAGAGAGAGAGAGAGAGAATCCCAAGCAGGTTCTGTGCTGACAGCAGAGAGCCTGACGTGGGGCTTGATCTCATGAACCATGAGATCATGACCTGAGCCGAAATTGGACGCTTAACCTACTACACTTTCCTTTCCTCAGATCAAGACTATTTTGTTTTTGTCTACCTTTGAATAATCTGTCAAAATAAACTGGCAAAAAAAAAAAAAAAATCCCCGAAACAATAACAGCACAATTTATAAAAAATAATAATAAATCATTAAAAAAGAGACGCAGTGTCCCTATTTTTCAACAGTCATTTTTAATAAAAAAATTATTAGTACAATTTTAAATTTACATGCAGTTATAAAAATGATACAGGGAGAGTCTGTATGTTTTTTACTTAGTTTCCTGTAAATGTACCATCTTACAAAACCATAGTATAATATTACAGCCAAGATGATGCCATGAATTCAGACTATGGATCTTATCAAGATTTGCCCAGTTTTACTTGTATTCAGTATGTGTGTGTGTGTTTAGCTCTACATACTCTCGTCATGTGTCTACACGGGTGAGCATATGAAGCACGGTATAGTCAAGCCCAGGACCCTTCCTTCATGACGAGGGGCTACAAGTCCCAGATCCAGAAGTTGGCAGGTATGAATCTTCTGGAAGCCTCTGTTGGCTCACTCTGACCTTGTGTGAACTCTGAGGGTCTCCTTGTGTGTCCACATTTCCCATAAGGACCCACATCTGATTAGGGCCTGACCCAGTGGCCTCATGTTAACTCACCTCTTTTAAAAAAATTTCTTTTAATGTTTACTTACTTTTGAGAGCGAGACAGAGCGTGAGCAGGGGAGGGGCAGAGAGAGAGGGAGACACAGAATCTGAAGGAGGCTCCAGGCTCTGAGCTGTCAGCATAGAGCCCGACACAGGGCTTGAACTCATGAACAATAAGATCATGACCTGAAGTCAGACGCTTAACTGACTGAGCCACCCAGGTGCCCTTAAGTCATCTCTTTAAAGGTCTTGTCTCCAAATACAGTCACGTCCTGGAGGCACTCAGGGTTAGGGCTTCAGCATAAGAATTTGGGGGTGAGGCAATTCAGCCCAAAACAGGATCGTCGCAACAATGTCATATAAACAGAATCACGTATGAGGTAACTTTTGGGATTGTGTCTTTCTTTTTCTGTTTTATTTATTTTTTTCCATTTAGCATAATTTTCAGGAGTTTCATCCAGGTTTTCGTGTGTGTCAATTATTAGTTTCTTTTCATTGCTGAGAAGTATTTCAAGGGATGGGTGGGCCACAGGTTATTTAAACATCTTCCTTTGTGGATTGTTTTCATGTTTCAGGTTATTATGAATAAAGCTGCTATTGACATTTGCGCACAGGGTTTTATGTGATCACACGGTCTTATTTCTCTGAGATGAACGCCCAGGAGGGCCACTGTTGGACCATGTGGTGGATTCACATTTCGGGTTATAAGGAACCACCTAACCATCTTCCTGAGTGACACACTGCTAGGTTCCCACCAGCAGCGTGGGAGTGATTCAGTTCGTCTGCATCCTCACCTGAGTTCTATGCTGTCACAATCGCTTAGAATAGTCATTGTGGTGAGTATGCAGTGATAGAGCCTTGTGGCTTCAATCTGCACTGCCCTGGCAGCTAATTACGCTTTCAATCCTTTCCCGGGCTCATTTTCCATCTATATACGCTTCTACGTGAAAGACTCATTCATGCCCATTGCTCATTTTCTGACAGAGATTGGTGTCTGGTGTTTTTACTATTGAGTTTGGAAAGTTCTTTATATATTCTAGATACTAGTCCTATGTTGGATACGTGGTTCCAAATATTCGTCCAAGTCTGAAGTTTATCTTTTCATACTCTTCACATGGTCCTTCCTGGTGTGATCAGAAGGACACCTTGGAGTTGTTATCGGGATTCTGAACCAGATTGGAACCTTTGAAGTGCTATTTGGGTTCAGAAGTATGACCAATGATCAAGGTCTACAAAGACCCAGTCAAATAGTACAAGGCAACAGGTGCACAGTGGATTTATACGTTACAGATTTTAAAAATAATCTTTCTATTTTCTGAACACGTTCATAGAAAAGCATAACCTGTTCTTTTGTAATAATGGCAGTTAATATTTATAGTGAATATAGCAGGTTCTAAGTAGTGTCCTGAGCACAGCTCTAGGTTCATTTATTCATATTATCTTCCTAACCATATTATGTAGTTGTTCATCATCCTTTTTGCTGCTGTTGGACCTAAAAGTTCATTTTTAACTGACCAGATGAAAATTCAGTGTCTGACAAATTGGAATTTTAAAAGTTAATGAGGGGCCCCTGGGTGGCTCAGTGGGTTAAGCATTTGACTTCAGCTCAGGTCATGATCTCGTGGTCCGTGAGTTCGAGCTCCACTTTGGGCTCTGTGCTGACTGCTCAGAGCCTGGAGCCTGCTTCAGATTCTGTGTCTCCCTCTCTCTCTGCCCCTCCCTTGCTCATGCTCTGGTCTCTTTCTCTCTGTCAAAAATAAATGAATATTAAACATTTTTTTAAATTAATGAGACACTTAGCAGATGCTGGATTATTTTACTTGTTCACATGGATTACCTTTGTCATGTAACTAAACTATTTTCTTGGTTTTCTTTCTCATGTCACATATGTTTTCAGAAGGATTCTCTCTGCATTCATTCTTCCTCTACGTCATTGGCTACCTAACTGTCAGAATGGTCCTTAAACATTTGTTGATGACAGACACCTTTAAAAATATGCATAGATATATGGACGCTTTTGATGTAACTCACGTGTAAACCCAATCCCAATCTTGCATGTGCTATTAAAATTTCAGATGGTCTGCTGGTTCCCTCATGCTACCTCCAGGTTAAATAACTCCACTTTCTTTTCTAGGGGCTAATTTGTATCGACAAACTGAGGAAGCTGATGCCACCAAAGTTGTACATTCCCGGCTAAACACCTAAGGATGATCCCTCCGCGTCTAATTTGTTATCTCTCTGATGGTGGATGAAGCGATGAAAATTCCTAATTCCTTCTTTGGTCATCTTAGCTGCTAATCTACAATGACTTCAGTAGTTAAGGGTTGAGAGTCATCGTTTCATTAAAAGATAATATTATTCTCTTTATTTTGTAGACTTTCATACGTGTATCTTCTGCAATATTGACATGAACGCCTGTGTGATAATATTTATGAGCAAACCCTTTCAGTGCTGTCTTCAGACAAAAAGTGAGTTTTTCTACCAAAAAGGTTCTGAAACAAGGCTTTCATGGCCGCAGTGTGAAGAATGCTGATGAGGGCAGAGGAGATCCTGGCCGGGGGAGACCAGAGAGAACAGACATGGCTCAAGGTCCGGGAACTAAAGCTTCTTGCAGACATCCTGAGATCCGTAGGGAAGCAGGCTGCCAGTGTGTTGAAAAGTCCGTAGAAGGAAGAAAACTCTTGCTTGGAAATCAATTTCAAAAGACACTGTCCTAAACCTCTCATATTTTCCTTCTGAAGTATGACAAATCATCAGTGTCTGTGAATACCCAGCCAAATTCTGCAGTGCAACAGTCACATCCTGCCTCCAAGCACAGCCCAGAAAAGACAATCAGATGCCCAGGATGGTATAGAATACAACAAGGGAGGGTACCAAGAGGAGGACGATGATACCAGATCAGATCGGGACTGTTTCCTCAGTCAACAGGTTGAGGGTCATCACGACATTCTTGGACAGGAGGGATGGGACACTGATGCCACAATTTGCTCCATATCCTTTGTGGGTCAGTGTAAACCAGGTTATGATTTTTTGTATTGTTGTTTATTTATTTATTTTTGAGAGACAGAGAGAGCGCGAGTGGGGGAGGGGCAGAGAGAGAGAGAGGGTGAGAGAGAATCCCAAACGGGTTCCACGCTGTCAGCACAGACCCCAACTTGGGGCTCCAGCTCACAAAGTGGGCAATCATGACCTGAGCGGAAACCAAGTGTGGGATGCTTAACTGACCGAACCACCCCAGTGCCCTGACTAGGTTAAGCTCTTAATGATATATTATCGTCAGCACAATCTCCAGAAATTATTTTCACGTATTCTCAAAATCCCAAATTGAGGAATCATTTCAAGAACCGTCATGCGTAGATGACAGCACCATGTCACCATGTCATCATGAAGGCTAGTGTCCAAATACAGCAAAATTAGGGAAGCAAGCCTCTCTGTGAATCGTTCAACAAGGTTTGAGTCTCCTTGCTCTGCTGTATCTGAAAGCCTGTCTGGGCTGAGTATTCAGTGTTATCCTATATGGGGATACTTGCCTTTGTTCGTGCTACGCTTATACCATACAAAGTTGCTGGGTATTAAGACGTACAAAAACATTTTTAATTTTTCTATGAGTGTACGTGATGTAGAAACACACACACAAACACGAATGCAATTGTCATGTGTTTGACGGTCCTTGATTTACAAAGACGTACACTAATTTTCTCCTGACAATTAAAAGTATCCTATTATTTACTATAATTATGACAACTGGCCTTCAAACATACCACTAAACCAATTTTTTGGAATGTAAACCCTCCATTGGATGCAAAAACAACAACAAAAATGAAGAATTAACAAGGACAAAAACAAAGCAGGTGAGATATTCCACGTAACGAATGGATGTCTCTAAAGGATCTAGACATAAATGTTTTCATTTTTAAGAGAAATACATTTTATATAAAGTCAAGGTGATTTTAATGGTCTTATATTTAAAATAACATCCCTCAGGGACGCCTGGGTGCCTCAGTCGGTTAAGCATCTGACTCCTGGTTTCAGCTCAGGTCACGATCTCATGATTCGTGGTTTTGAGCCCCACATTGGGCTTTGCATTGACGGCATGGAGCCTGTTTGGGATTCTCTCTCTCCCTCTCGCTGCCTCTCCCCTACTTGCTCTCCCTCTTTCTCAAAATAAATAAACTTTGAAGTAAAATAAAATGGAAAATAAAATAAGATAGTGTCCCTCAGAATTTATCTCTATCTTTAAAAAATTACTCCCCCCCATCTCAGAAAAAAAATCCCTTCTATTTGTATCGTGGCATATTATAGCTGGGTTAATGTGTTTCGTAGCCGTAGGATCTCAGCTCTCTCCGTCAAGAAGGGCCCACCAGTGAAAATCCAATCAAGCTCCAGTGAGGTAATCATGCTCTCCTGCTGTCTTGGTTTTAGTACATTCCCAGGTGCACTGTTATTCCCACTGACTTAATATGCCGAAGAAATCCTCACATTTTGTAACAGTACATTGGCGGATAATCAAAAGCGGAGGCATCATTTTGTACGTCTCTTAAAAATTCAAGTTATAGTTATTTCCTGGTTAAGCTTCTTACTATTGAAGATGACACAATACCTTCAGTTAGCTAAAGTCACTTAGTCACTTCTCCTATTTTTTAAATGTTTATTCTTTCAAATTTAAAATAAAAAAGGTGCCCTGTTGTACAATGGCTGACCAATCCACTCTGTTACATACTTTACCACAAGATGGGTTAAATAGTCCAACCAGTTCCCTTCTGAGGTTAAACATCTGCTTATTCTGTTTCTATCTAAATGGGCTCTTTGCATATTGAATTTTAACAACAGCCTAACAATAATGAGAATGATAATAATTACAGTTACAACAACATATAGAATGCTTAATACATATTCATACTTATTACATGCTGGGCGCTATTCTAAGCACTGTACCAATCCAGTTCATTACTAATTTAATTCTCAAAACAATTCTGTAACATAATTATAGCAGTATCATTTTACAGATGAAAAAGTTGAGACACGAACGGAAAAATAATTTGCCCAACAGAAAACAGCTCATGAAAAGCAGAAGCATGAATTAAATTAGGCATTCCAATCCTACATTGGAATAAGATGTATATGTTCAGGTCCTTCGTCCAATTGGAATTAGTTCCATATTACTCTGGGAAAACAATGCTACCTACTAGAATTTGAGATATTACGTCCATAAGAAATTTTCAAGAAGAAATAATCAGAGAAATAAGCTAGCAAATCTCCTTTGACATCAAGGGTGAAACTCAACTGTATTTGAGAGATTTTTAAGTATTTTTATAACGGCGACTGGAAAGGCAGGGTTGTTTTTATGCGTCATGCCCCTGAGTAGGAAAAGGTGACAGAAAGCGTGTTCTGCTTGTTATTTGAGGAAGACTGAGCTTCTTTGCGCGTACTGTAGAGGGCAGTTTCGAGGCCGGAGGAGGAAGAGAACACTGAAAGAAGGAAGCTGTCCATCAGCAGGGGCTTTCTGTTCTGGGTTGGGCTACTGGGGCAGACCGAGCTGGACAGCAGGACAGGACATCACACCGTACATTTCAGTTCAGAAACACGCACTGGAGCGCTAACGCCATCTGGGGCTGTGTGGTGACAAATGGAAAGCTGCAATAAAGGCAAAGCCCTTGGATATACTCTTAGTACAAGCACATGAAGTATTTGGTTTCTGTATTTTATTTTAGTGTCTGTAAGATCTCTTAAAAATAAAATGAAGCCAATATTTTTCTGCGAATCCTGTCGGCTTTGTAGTATACCACCCTTGAGAACAAAGTTTGTGCTGAGGAATCCTCCTTTCTAGATCCAAGCCTACTGCAAAGGCACATTCTTCGTTTGGACAACTCGTACTCAGAATACGTGCCGTGCACATTGGTGGATTTGCTACCCTCGGCATCTTATTTTCTCCTTCTGTTAGGAGCCACTCCAACATCAACCCTTCGTCAGTATGTGTGCGCATGTGCATGCGTGCAAACACACGTGCTCACACACACACACACACACACACACACACACACACACACACTTCAGGGGAACCATGTCTCCTTAATCCATTCCACATCATTCTTGCAGAGCTTCGAATCATGGCGTCACGCTGACGAGCCATGGTGGATGGTCCCAAGGATTGGGCTTCTGACACAAGCTTGGACGAGCAGAGCCCTGTTCTCTGTTTCCATACACCTCCTTGGGAAAGAAGATTTTCTCTTCCTGAGACTGGGACACTGGGACAATGCAAACTTCAAGTTGACTGTAGCCATTTTTTCCCCTCCTTCCCTTCATATACAGTTCAGGAGATGGGGAGAAACAGCACATTATTTGTTTTCCCTAATCCTGGTTGTTCTGAGTTACATGTGTTAATAACTTCCCCTTTTGTCTCAACTGGGTTTCTTCCCCTTTTAAATAAAAAAGAGAAAAAGGAGAAGGAGGAGGTCTGAATTCCAATTACAGGTGTTTCTGACTCCCCTGGACAATGGTGGCATTTTAATGACTCTGCACAATGGTTTCCTGCCTACAAATAACCGTAACAGTAATAATGTTTGGGAAATATATTAGATCCAAATTTAGAACCACAACAACAGCAAACTCCATGAATTAACTCTCAACATAACAAAATAGAAGAGCTAATTACCACTCATTTATCTGCACCATTTTGGGTATTTCATCCCCACAAAGCCAATATTCCATAAATCCCGAGGAATCTCGGAAAGCCGCTACCAGTCTGCAAAGAGTGGGAATGAAAGAGGGTGAAATTCTTAGTGTTGCACCTTCACCTCTGTCTGCATCGCACCTTCAAGGAGTATGTGTTTGAGTGGAGGACCCACTGCTTACTCACTATGTGGAGTTGGAAAGGGCCCGATGGATCTTGGAGCTGCTCTGGCTGGAGCACCTTTGAAAAAATATCCAGACTTAATGAGGCACGTCTTCCAAAAGTCACTACAAAGAAAGCTAGAAAGCTGAACTACTCAAGACTCACTCCAGACCTCCTCCGTTTGGGGGCACCACATCCGGGCATGTGCGTTTTTATAAAGCTCCCTGTACAACTGTGATATTCACCCCTGATTAAGAACATCTGCCGTTGTGAATTCATTTTCTCTGATTATCATCTGAGACTAGGGACCCTTTGCAATTAGCTATAGAAAATATGGGTCTGGCATAAGGGAGACACTCAATAAATTGTTGTATCATAAATAAATCAAGCTGGTTTGAACTCCTTAATAATTTCTCCAGCAGAAAAAAAAAATCTGCATGCCCGATGGCATGATTTTCTGTAAAATGAAGCACTGTTCCCAAGAAAATGCATGTTCTTTTCAATCTCTTCTTAAGAGAGCATACTAAGATCTAAG